GGACATGGAAAAAGGCTTCAGAGATATGAGACGAAAAATAATCATCATTTGTATTTACTTTTGTTCCACACACTTCTTTCTTCAGCCTTAACCCACTGGGGAGACGCACAGTACAACTGCAGATCTTCTACCATTGGATACACTGTCAGGAAAAGCACAATTGAGAAAGGGCATTTTTCTGAGCACTTCTTTCCCTTGATATTCAACTCTCCTGAAAGGCTGGTAAAGATCTTCACCTACTGCTTACTTTGTGTGCCACAATATAGTTCCAGAGCTTTACAGAAAAGTTGTTCAGCTTGTTACAAGGCATTGCTTGTGTTTGTGATGGCCAGAGGGTAGTTTAAAAAAAAAAAAAATCTTACTACATAATTGCCTGAAATTTGAGGGACAGTACTCAATCCTGGTAGTCATTTCCACTTCATCTTTCCCAACTTGTAACCTCTATGTTCTCACTGTACACTTTGTTTAAGCACTGAAGTACCCTTCTCACTTTCACATGAATTAACAATTTCCTGCTAAACACCTGGGTGAAACTACTCTTTACGGAAACGCAGTGCGTGCTCCCCAGGAAAGGGACACAGCTAACCCTACCAAGGCACCAAGTGGCACTGTCACGTCACTGCCTCTTCCCTTCCATGCGTTCCCACACAACAGGCGGAGTCCTGCTTCAGTAAATGCAGCATGTGCTTTTTTCCAGGTGAACACCGCAACAGACCAACTCGTTTTAACAACAATTAGTTATGAGTTCAGCCACAACAGCCTTTTTTGCTAGCATTAAGTAACTTTCATCTCTAGCTTTGGCAAAATATTTAAAAGAGGGGAAGACAAAATATAGAGAAAGCAGAGGTAAAGAGCATTTATTACTAATCTGCGCTTCAGGAAGCGAGACGAAGCTATGAAAAGAAATAAACCCAGGAAAGAGGCTTCTGAGAGAACAAACGCAGGCTGATCAAAGGGAAACAGCTGGAAAAGGCTGATTGCAGAGAAGCTGCAGGGATCTGCTTTAAGCTACAGTGCAAAAACCAGATACTACTTCACTAAGAAAAGTGACCATAGACTTGTGTTCACAACTAAAGCCTGATTTCCCAATTTAACACATCACAGCAGACCCTACAGTTTCTTCCTTTAAAGTACACCATAGGGCATAACTGGGTGTTTCTCATTTCGCCATGGAAACAGGATTCTTCTTTTGCAGCTGCTCCATGACCCAAGTTTCAGTACACACAAATAATTTGGCAAACCAAGAATACCATACAGCACCACTGAAGCATTCACAGAGCAAGTTTGCTTTGAATAAAGACTCCGATGAAGAATCAAACCCTAGTTTCAAGTATGTTTAAAATCTGAACTGTTCAGACAGCTCTTACAAAAGAGCTAAACTTTCCCGTTTGCCTGATCTCACCTCCAGTTACGCAAACATCTGAAAGTCAGAGGTAAGCGAAGAGTGAAATGAATCCTAATCCAGTTGATATTCCCACTGTGCTCTAGCTGAGGCTCCCTTCCTTGCTGGCCCCAGCAAACGAAAATGTTTAAGCCACTAAGACCAAGCACTGCCTCAGCCACATCAGTCAGGCCCAACACTACTTCTGCGAATCTACCTTGATAGAGAGCCCACAAAACAGGCTAAACAAACACAGACAATGACAAATTAGCAAACATATGTTGCAATAAGTAATATGGCAGTAAGATGCTGGAGACAAACATTCCCTAAATCATTTTACAGACAGAGAAAGACAGCTCAGCAGG